GGGGTCTTAGTAATAGTAGTAATATCTTCAGTGTATGGCGTGTATATTACTGGCCCCACAACGATGCTATGAGGTATACCTGCTTCAATAGGTTCGAAAGTTTAATAAGTTGTATGTGTATCATCCGCAGATCCAAATATGGGGGTCTTAGTAATAGTAGTAATATCTTCAGTGTATAGCGTGTATATTACTGGTCCCACGACGATGCTATGAAGTATACCTGCTTCAATATGTTTAAAAGTTCAGTAAATTGCATGTGCATCATCTGTAGATCCAAATATTGGGGTCTTAGTAATAGTAGTAACATCTTCAGTGTATAGCGTGTATATTACTGGCCACACAACGATGCTATGAGGTATCCCTGCTTCAATAGGTTCGAAAGTTTAATAAGTTGTATGTGTATCATCCGCAGATCCAAATATGGGGGTCTTAGTAATAGTAGTAATATCTTCAGTGTATAGCGTGTATATTACTGGTCCCACGACGATGCTATGAAGTATACCTGCTTCAATATGTTTAAAAGTTCAGTAAATTGCATGTGCATCATCTGTAGATCCAAATATTGGGGTCTTAGTAATAGTAGTAACATCTTCAGTGTATAGCGTGTATATTACTGGCCACACAACGATGCTATGAGGTATCCCTGCTTCAATAGGTTCGAAAGTTTAATAAGTTGTATGTGTATCATCCGCAGATCCAAATATGGGGGTCTTAGTAATAGTAGTAATATCTTCAGTGTATAGCGTGTATATTACTGGTCCCACGACGATGCTATGAAGTATACCTGCTTCAATATGTTTAAAAGTTCAGTAAATTGCATGTGCATCATCTGTAGATCCAAATATTGGGGTCTTAGTAATAGTAGTAACATCTTCAGTGTATAGCGTGTATATTACTGGCCACACAACGATGCTATGAGGTATCCCTGCTTCAATAGGTTCGAAAGTTTAATAAGTTGTATGTGTATCATCTGCAGACCAAATATTGGGGTCTTAGTAATAGTAGTAACATCTTCAGTGTATTGCGTGTATATTACTGGCCCCACAACGATGCTATGAGGTATACCTGCCTCAATATGTTCAAAAGTTCAGTAAGTTTTATGTGTATCATCTGCAGATCCAAATATTGGGGTTTTAGTAATAGTAGTAACATCTTGAGTATATATCGTGTATATTACTGGCCCCACAACGATGCTATGAGGTATACTTGCTTCAATAGGTTCGAAAGTTCAATAAATGTATGTGTATCATCCGCAGATCCAAATATTGGGGCCTCAGTAATAATAGTAATTAATATCTTCAGTGTATAGCGTGTATATGTTAAAGTAATAATATATAACGGTTTATTAAATATAAAATTTATATGTAACAGAGTAACTATCTTATATGCAGCAGAATAATTTAAAGTATTAACGTACACCGCTCTATTCTCTTATACATCGCAAACAAGAACAAATTTGTTTTATTGCACATTCATTAATTCAATAATTTAAAATTAATGGTATTTTCCTTTTATCTTCCTCTCTTTCATTCCTAGCTCGTATAATACAGATATATACAAATCTATTTTCTAACAATATACCGGGTAATATAAAGAGTGGGGCATTTAAGACAGGTCACTTGAATATCTCACTTGTTTTTGAAGTTACAAGAAAATGCATTAGACCGAACTTACTTGATATCGAAGAGTTTGTAATCTGATATTACTAATTTTTCTATAGATGGAGCCGTTAAGTTGATGTGAAGATCAACTCCACCTTTTTAAATGAAACGATATGGTTTTTATTCATAACCTGGTAGAGTATATCAAGGCAAAAAGTTAGCCAAGATCAACTGCAATAGAAAATAAATTCTCTCAGAGCACTTTTCCAATACTTCGAAGATTTACATGCAACATGTTATGTATATACTCACTGTTGGTTCAAGTCTTCAAAATCACGACTGTACAAGAATACATTTTTTTTTAATAACTCCAATACACTACAATTTGTCCAAGAAAGACATTTGGTAAATTATTTCAAGTGTTTGAAATATTTATCACGTAGATGTTCGCTCAGGATACATCTCTAATGCACATACTCCTTATGCCGAGGACAGGAGGTCATTTGGATGCGTCCAGCGTAGTCTTCTAACAAGGTTTTCTCGGTGTAGATTATTTGCTACATTGCTAGGACAGTTTCCAAGCCCTATCATGTATGTGTTATATAGATATTTTACTTCTTCTTCTACTGCTTTGATCATAAGATTGCTTCGTATCCGCATGTATCAAGGCAATAGTCCTCAGAATGACGGGTTCCATCAGAATTATATGGCTTTCAGTAGCCGTAACCCATAATGCAATCCCGTCGATTCAAATTGGTTTGATTAACGTTTTATAGATAAGAAGCTTATTGCTTGTACTTAGCTCAGAGTTTCCGCTAGAGAATTTTAGTTTGAGGTATCCTAGCACTGTTGAGAGCAACAGGAGAAAGAGTTCCTTTTTCCAATGTAAATGTAATGTGGTTACAGCTCTCAAAGTTCATTTTTATTCTCCATTCACTTAACCATTGTTTACTTTGTAGCAGCTATTGTTGCAAAAAATTTCCTGCGATATTTGGCTTTTCGTGTGTGGCCATAATTCCAGTATCATCTACAGATTCAAATATTGGGGTCTTAGTAACAGTAGTAATATCTTCAGCGTATAGCGTTTGTATAAAAGGCCCCACAACGATACTATGAAGTATACCTGCTTCAATATGTTTAAAAGTTCAGTAAATTGCATGTGTATCATCTGTAGATCCAAATATTGGGGTCTTAGTAATAGTAGTAACATCTTCAGTGTATAGCGTGTATATTACTGGCCACACAACGATGCTATGAGGTATCCCTGCTTCAATAGCTTCAAAAGTTCAGTAAATTGTATGTTTATCATGCGCAGATCCAAATATTGGGGTCTTAGTAACAGTAGTAATATCTTCAGCGTATAGCGTTTGTATAAAAGGCCCCACAACGATACTATGAAGTATACCTGCTTCAATATGTTTAAAAGTTCAGTAAATTGCATGTGCATCATCTGTAGATCCAAATATTGGGGTCTTAGTAATAGTAGTAACATCTTCAGTGTATAGCGTGTATATTACTGGCCACACAACGATGCTATGAGGTATCCCTGCTTCAATAGCTTCAAAAGTTCAGTAAATTGTATGTTTATCATGCGCAGATCCAAATATTGGGGTCTTAGTAACAGTAGTAATATCTTCAGTATATAGCGTGTATATTACTGGCTCCACAACGATGCTATGAGGTATACCTGCTTCAATAAGTTCAATAAGTTGTGTGACTTGGTTGGTTGGTTGGTTGTTTGGTTGAAACCATGTAGATTGTCGTATTTCCAGTGTAATGTCTTCTAATAACTCTGGCAACACATCTTCTAAGATTCTTCCATCCTTTTTTTTTTCAACTTACAACTATTTAGCGTACCATCAATGGAACAATTATTTTACTATGACCAGTAGTGAATGTTGTAGCGCTTAATTGCTCCATATTTTGTAAATCTGACCTCATCCAGAGACAAAATTTTACTCAAAAACATTTCAGCGTCTTGTAGTTTTCGTAAACGCCTTTTGCAGAATTGTAAACGTTTCTGAAAATTATTTTCACTTAATTAAAGTGAAACAGAAAGTAAGGAAGAAGTAAAACGTGAAATTTCTTTGACCTGTGTTAAATGGCCCACCCTGTATACTATAGAATATATCTGTCTGAATTGCAGGTTGCAGAATTCTTAGATTGAAATTATTTTTCAAATAGTAGTATCCAGAAATATTAATATTTATACTCGTATCACATCCTAAATATGCAATAATATTTCGGGATATTAATATTCGAAAACGCAATTTCAATTACTCATAACGTCTCTTTCATTTTTTATTACTCATATTTATATGTTAATTATATATAAATACATATATTTATTACTCATACTCAACACGTCACAACTTAATACTACTTATCGATAAGATACGTACACTGCTAAAAAGTGTTCCGTTTTATTATAACACAATACGCAATTTATTAGAAGAAATTAAACAACGTACATAAAAAGTCTAAATTTTTCATGGATTATGAAATTTTGTACGAGAATAAGTGTGAAGAAATTTAGTTAAAAGGAAATTTAGAACTTAATGCGATTTGTACAGTACAGTTTTATAATAAATAAATAAATAGATATAGCTTCCGAATTTTTTCAATTATGGAATGTGCAATACGTAAACATAAGTCTGTTACATATAAACATTTTACTTTTCACCGAACATTTTCACCGAATGTCTATTTGCAAAAAAAAAAAAAAATTGTACGACATTCAAAATGGCGAGATTTATTATAACCTAAAATTGACAAATGAAGAGAGGTGTTACGTCGCGTGGGACAGTCCGTGCGCCGTCCTTCATTGTCTGACCGTCAAAGGCCCACGCAACGTTATTCAGATTCTCAATAAACCTAGGGAACCATCATAAACAGAGTCTTTTTAACGAAATCTTTAATCCTGCAAGTATTTTCTATTTATGGCTGGCACTTAAAACAGTCCTTAGGTTTATTATTCGCTCTTAAAAATTACAGAGAAAGCGGGTAGTTACCTAAGGGGAAAAGAATATTTGTCTAATGGAAACAATGACACCCACGACGAAAAAGCAGGTTTTTCCCATAAACAATGACACCCACTTTCTCCTAGCTTCATTTGTTAACGTTGGCTATAACCAATGGGCATCGCGTATCGTTACCCTCACTTTCCTAATGGAAAGTGTGAATAACGAATCCGCATTCTTCGTTCAAAGGGCACACCCATACCGAAATTTTCTCCGTAATAACATAAGAGAGAATAGTTAGTTAAAAAATCGCCAAGTCGATGACAGTCAATCGACAGAGTAACATACAGTGAATCGAGTCAAAATCATTCATCACAGTCGCCAACACAAAATTAGTCTCAAGTCGTACTCACTCGTAGTTTGGCAGTCAACATACGCACAATTGTATCAAATATTGAATTGTTATTGGATTGTTGAAAATATATATATTACAAGCTGTTAATATCAACGTTATACTCATTCAACTACCCTTATTATCTGAACCGAAATAAGGGATCGAACGACTCGTGGCGACAATTATTCGAATCGTACCGGGAATTTACGACTGCTGTTTGCGCACTTCGAGATCGCGTCTCCCCGAGAACGGTCGAAACAAGAGGCACATTGTAATTTATAATATAAACCTGTATTTTATTGTATTGAATAAATAGAAGTCTAAAACTGATTGTGGTGAATATAAATGGCATATATACGATATTAGTAAATTTACGTTTATATAAACGATAACTTTAAGCAACAATAAGATCAACTTAATGTATTAATCTTTTAGAAATGCTACATGATCTACAACTAATATCGATCAATAAAAAAAATACTGCAAATAAGATTTCGTTATTTTTATTAAGTTTCATTTTATCTTTTCTTTATATTTGATATGGGTTCAGGTTAGGTGTCATTTTATCTGGTCGCCGTGAGGTGGCTGGCTGCCACGGATTCACAATCATAGGCAGAATTCGCTGTAATGTTTCTGTCGGTTTTTCTGCGAATATCTCGGAAACTAAAGCTGAACCGCGGTAACGTGTATAGGGAAGATTGTTCAGAATCATGTCATCGACAACATATTCAGAAATCATTGAAATCGCTCATGAGGTTAAACTTGCAAATAATTACCAACAATCCCGGCGCATTTTCGTGACAGACAGGAATTCGAGGATTTCTTTCCTCGTGGACATCGGCACCGGCTTATGCGTGTACCCGCGCAAAAAACTACGTGAATTCGCAAATAAAGACGAATACTCTAAAGTAAAAATATTAGACCTATTTTCTATTATATTTGAAAACAAACTTTGGGAAATACTTGTTACGGAAACAAATCGCTTCGCATATCAGACAATGCACGACGAGCGTAAAAAACGGGAAGTGGATGACGCTTGGTATCCTATTACCTTAGACGAAATAAAGGCCTACTATGCACTGTGTATGTTACGCCTCGAGGCTTACCATAGACCGTATTCGTAACCGTCGCTCGTGGTACTGCAGTGTCGCAGACAGATCGTCTTATAGAATCAGCGAAATATATACAATGTAGCGACAAGCGCATAGTTGCCATCAAGCAGCGAATTCTAGGAACATCGATTCCCTTTTGGTCGTTATTTTATCTACACAAAGGTGGCATACGTGATCATAGGCACGAACGGTGGCGTGACCCGAGCGTAGTGGGGGTAGTCTCCCAGAGAAGACAAAGAAAGAATCGAAAGGCAATCAGTATCATTTGGGGATTCAAACGTTATGCATCGAGAGGTTCTGTCGAATAAAATTAAAGTCGCTTAGTCTACCGAATACATCGAGAAATACCATAAAGTCGGCTCGCATTCCTGTATCAAACTCATTGTATTTATCATTATATAATTTGTGATGTGCTCATTAGAATATTAAATATTGTTAAGTATACAAGTTTATATTAAACCTGTTAAAGTAAAACGTGAAAATCGTCTAAACCAGCTCCAACGACTAATTCGCGGCGTCGATTATCTGAATCGTAATGAGAATTTACGCCTCTCGCTGACGCGCTTTCCTCGCGATCGCGTCTCTCTGCGAACGGTCGTAACAGTGTATTTTGATAGGTTAAGTAAAAAAATCAAACATCCAACTGTATTACACCATAAGAGCAGTAATAGAAACGCCAATATTTAAAAAAAACAATGCCTTTGTCTTAAAACTTAAAACATAAAAGAACATTGTATTATAATAATTTATCTATATTTACATCTTTAAAAATATGATCATGTAGTATTAATTTCTGCTTTTCTTTCTTTGTTCTTTTTTTCTGTATGATAATTTACAAAACATTCACCAAAATGTATTCTTAATTTGGCCAAAATTTTTTCTCCATGACATTATACCATGTTTGCAAACTCAAATATGATGACAGTGTTCTCCCCCTATCTTTTCTTGCAGCATAATTGTTTGTTTATGTTGTTATTTCTTTTATTAGGTCGCCATAAAAAATTTTTTTTAAAAAAAACCAACAACTGATCAACATTTGAAGATACCTGTGGTCCTGCCGGTTTTTCCCCGGCTATGAATTATATTCTCGGTGGTACTTGGCTAGATTCTTCATAAGGTATTCAATCTAGATTAGAATCTTGTGGGGGTCATCGATAATTCCTTCATGAATACAATCGACTTCGTTCCTAAACAGTTCAAAATCAAATTTCATTCCATTTAAGCTACTTTCATTTCCGAAATCCATTTTTTAGGGCTCCTAAAGTATAATACTTTTACCATGATTATCGAATCCGCACTAACATAAATTTCGATAGAATAATAAACGTAATTTTAAAGCGTAACGCTTCATACTTCCTAACAAAGAAAATGAAGAGGTAAGGAACCTATTTACGAAACAATACTGCGCTTTCGTGAATTATAGATGACGAAATCTAATATAAACAGGGACTGTCACTTGTCACTCGCCACTCGAGTTGCCGCATGAAACGCCGTGGCGATTGAGAGTCGCCTCTCAAGCGCAAACGGTTACCACTACCTGATTGGTTTAAAATTTCTGCACCACGCTATTCTAATATGTTTTTGTTGCTTGCAAATGTTTAATAGCTAGTTTTTACGCCTTGTAATTTGTAATATACTTAGTAATGGGTATGCATCAGCTACTAAGTTTTTGATCAATGCCCTATTCTTGATGACTATTCGCCACTGCTTATTTTCCATTTCTTGAGAACTACCTATCAACAGTTCTTGCAGAAAAAGATTAGAGTTGCAGCAACACTTAAAAGCAAATTATATCGTTCTCCAATGGCTCATTTGCCGATTAATCTTCTCTCTGTGGATAGATGTGAGGTGTAATAGTTGTGGGTGATAGTACTACTGCTGGTGTAGAGGTCGAGATAGGTCCTGGGGTACTGCTGCTTCTCTTCTCACTTTGTATCGTGGAAGGGGGAGGGGGGGGTGACCTGTAGAATTATTTACACTATTTTACAGGGAGGGAAATTTGAGCGTTGCCGTTTTGTGGTTCTTTCTCTTGTTATTTTTTATTATGGTTTCGGTCTAAACCAATATTTGTTTATGTTTTTTTCTGTAATTGCCTTCTGTGCATTTTTGGGAAAGGGCCATGTTGTATCCCCACCTAGTGTCTACGGTCTGTCCATTTAAGTTTTTCTAGTAGAGTATTCTTTTAATCCCTATTTTTCTTTTTATATAGTAGATTATTGGAATATTATTTTGGCCCTGGACGTAGTTTCTTTCGTCTAAGTATAAAAACGCATGGGGGGGGGCATGCATCTACGCAGCTTCCGCGAAGTGGTTTATTGTTAGTTTTTAGATGTGACAACCGATGCGGTGGATGTTGACTAAGTCGTGGGTGTGGAAAAAGTCGCATCCTTGCTCGATGTGTTTATGTGAATAGTAATGTGGCGGCACTTGACAGTAAACTTCCCATCAGTTTACGTCGCGTGACGCACGACACAAAGACCCTATATACCTGCGGACAAGATGATTGCCAGATGTCGATACATTCGTACCGAATATTTCCAGCTAGCCTAAGGACCGCTATAAATCTTAGGATTTATTTTAGCTAAGGTCCTCCAAAGAGACAAACAGTCTTTGTTTATCAGTCTCGAAGTCGACCACTTACCACGGGGACACACGAGAAAACTGCTATCTCTCACGTACGATGCTTCCCGCTAGCAACACTCTGTCAAGGGCAGCTAGCATCCTTTTCCAACGACCAACACGAATTAGCCAATAAACATTAACGTACATTTCCCTCACTTTCCGAACCAAAGCTTTTCTCAACGAATCCGATGCCTTCGCACCCGTAGACACATCCGAACGCAGCAGCATCGCGACAAAAAAGTCAGTCTATTACCGCGAGTCAACATATCACGATCGTTATACTTACACGGTTCGAGCCGAATAATTATCTAAGCTCTCGACATCTCGTGCAATCATTGTCCGCACTCGCAGCGCATCTCGAATCGTAGCTATCC